TTCAGTTGGAATGTAGAAACCAGACATTTGGTCAGCTTGGAGATCTCGCTAGAATCATTGTTCGTAATGAGGATATCGTCAGCTTGGAGATCTCGCCAGAATCATTGTTCGTAATGAGGATATCGTCTACATAGATGAGGATAAACATTTGAATTTTATTATGATAGTATAGTAGGAGGGAAGGATCCTCCTTGCTGAACTGAAACTTGTTAGATCGAAAGAAGTCAGAGAAAGTGACGAACCATTGGTGTGGAGTCTGCTTGAGGCCATATAATAATTTTTTTTCAACAAACATACATGATTTGAAAATTGTAGATTCTGAAACCTGGATTATTGTTTCATTTGCACTTTCTTATTGAGGTTACTGTGGAGGAACGGGTTGGAGATGTCGAATTGAATGATGTTCCAAATGTGATGAAGGGCTATCGCAATGAGTATGTGAATGATAGGAAGTTTGGCAATTGGGCTGAACGTTTCATGATAATTAACTCCACACTCTTGCGTGTGATCTTGAGCAACTATGCAGGCCTTTTGAGTGTAACTTCATCGAGGGAGTTCAGTTTTGTTGTATAGGTCCACCTGGAGTCAATTATAGGTTGATTAATAGGAGCGGCAACTAATATCTAAGTGCCTTGTCTCTAAAGTGTATTGAACTCTTCTGTCATTTTGTTCCGTCATTGTGGTAGATCGGATTCTTGGCTGAAGCGGGTTGGGTCGGGTGAATGTTTAGTGTGGTGGAGGTTTAATTTCTTAATTGGTTTGAGGTGACCTGTTTTTGCTCCAGTGTTCATAGGATTGGTTGGTGGAGGTATATGAGGGGACTGGTGTTGAAGACTGTAGGAGCATTGAATGGCGAGTGCAGTGGAAGTGGGATGCAATGATGGAGCTGAAGCAGGAGGTTTTTGGACTGTAGGTTGTAAGAAGGTTGTTGGTTGTAGGAAATATGAGGGAGTGAGCTGAAATGGGTGGCTTATTTGTTTGTAGTGAGGATAAAGTTTGTAGAAACGGAAAAGTGTTTTCATCAAACCCCATGTGTCGTGAGGTGGTAATTTTGTTGGTGATGGGATTGTAGCAGTTGTAACCTTTATGTTGGAGAGAATAGCCAAGGAAACTGCATTGAACTGATGTCGGTTCAAGCTCGTGTTTGGTTTGAGGTTTCTGCTAGGGATAACAAGCACACCCAAAGACACGAGTATGAGTGTAGGTTGGTGGAGATTTATGGAGATGCTCTTTTGGGGATATATATTGTGTAGTTCTAGTAGGCATCCGATTTATGAGGTGAACTGCTGTTAAAAGGCTATCGGTCTAGAATTTGTATGGGGCGTGAGCTTGATGTATTAGAGCTAGAGTGGCCTCTATAAGATGTTTGTGTTTGCGTTCCACCACCTCCTTTTGTTTGGGTGTTTATGGGCAAAAGTATTGGTCTAGAATGCCTTTTCGGTGAGAAATTGGTTGAGGTTGTAATTGTTATATTCGTCGCCCCCATCAGAGCGAAGAATTTTTATGTTGGTAGTGAATTAGTTTTGTAGTAGGTTGATGACATTTTTGGGTGATCATTATCGTTCGAGATTTGAAGTGCATAAGAAATACCCAACAGAAGTGAGAGAAGTCAACAACAAATGTAACGTAATATGTATAACCTTGATAAGAGGGAATTGGGGTTGGACGCCATACATCACTATGGATAAGTTTTAATAATTTGTAGTTTTGTCTTATAGATGATACAAAGGGCTGTTTGTGACTTTTAGTAATATTGCAAATGCTACAAAAAGTTAAAGAGTAATTTTGCAAACCCATTTTTGGTGGGCTGTAGTCGACGTTCGAGGGTAATCCAGATGGCTGCAGTGGACTGTAGATGCAGAATATGGAGAAGAACTGCTGGGCTGATGATTGAGTAGAGTAGGGCAGTTAGATTGTGGTCCCAACAGCTTCCATAGTTGAAATTTGGGGTTCTCGAGTTGGCACCTTGGAATTGGGGAGGACAGACAACTTCCATCGAGAAATCCAGAAAACCCATTTGCCTCAATGGTTTTCAAGACCTGAGCCTTCCAGATGTGATAATTTTCAGTGGTGAGTTGGTTTTGGGTGAGGTGTTTGAGATGGGAGTTAAAAAATTTTAGGGCAGGTGGGATGTTGATGGTAGGAGCATTAAGAAAAGGGGATTGAAAATCTGAAACCATAAATTCATCCATTTGTCGGGAAGAAGAGCGTTTACCCGATGTTGAGAAGGAGGTGATTTTCCAGGCGCAGCTCTGGTACCATGAAATCAGGGAGAACCTGGAATTAGTATTTGGAGAAGGAGAAACTCAGCATGCGACCCGAGAAGGAATTCCTTTTCCTCAATATTCCATATTGTCAAGTATCATGTAGCAGTTAGTAAAAAGGTGAAAAGGAAAGTTTTGGATACCTTTGCTTTAATAGCCGAATTGGTTATATTGGGCAGCAGTCCTCCTTTGGCCACCACATATGGGTAATAATTTCTTAAGGTGGTGTAGTGTTGCTAATACTCCAGACTACCATCCCTTCAAAATAAATAGAGATATTGATAAGGGCCGCTCATATCCAACTGAGTTCGATTAGGATCCGTATCCAAAATGCTACTTGATACAAAAAATTTAGTAATTTTAATGGACATAACAATCTAAATAAAACTCAACCCAATTCAAGGCAAAATTTGGCTTTACTGGTGGTACGGATGCACCGCTATTCTGATTTGTTAGCAATTTGACTTCAACTCCATTCGCGTATGCTAAACTTTCAAATAGCAATCAAATATTCGTCAAACTTCAAATTATGTTTATGAAGTGATTTGCCAGCACAATTGAAAAAACCATTGTTGTTGATATCATCATAGAGAAATGAAGGGATGAGACAATAATCAAATATCCTGCTCATTTATAAAATTTGAGCATGAAGTACGAGCAACAATTGAATGAGAAGCATGTACTTCAATTGTTGAAGGGCAACATTAAAGGTAAGGTAATTCTTTATTTATGAACTCCATCAGCACTTTCCTGGAGCTACTGGGCATGGTGACAATGATTAAAAATTTAATTCTTTCAAAATTTTGAAGCCATCTTGATGGGCTTAAATTAAGCAAAAGTTCAATGTACAAGAGAAGGCAAGGTCAATGCTACCTCTTTTGCAATGCTAGCAAGGGGAAGCAAATAACTTATAATGGCTATAGGGGAAAATGACTTGTTTGTAATGATAAGAAAGAAAGCAATTAATCAATCCTAATTTTCAGTCAAAGCTAGAAATAGAAAATGTGAAATCTTAAATCTTCTTTAGTAGAGGTGAGTGTAAAACAAATAATGATAAATTTTTATTGAAATTTTCTATTTTTCAAAGAAATGATGAATACAGAATTTGTGATGAGGTTATTTTGCTAAGCACTCAAAGAAGTCCTAAAACTTCTAATATATAAAAGAATTAAAGAAACATATCAGAGGAGTGATCCCAATTACTACTCATATCCTTGTTGGATAATTAGTTTTACATCTTCAAAATTTAGCTCAAAAGAAAGCATAGAAAAAAGGAATTAATAATATCATAGTTTATTCGAAAAACATTCTCTTTTGTGTCACCAACCAAAGAAGAAACAAATGAAAAACCAATACAAGATGGAGAATGAGAAATGTTAGTTTTGTAGAAAATTATGAAAATGTTAGCATCAAATGGAAGTCTCTAAGTATTTTAGTGCTTGAATTGAAAGAAAAGCCATGTTTGAGTGCATCAACTTCCAAGCCGTTGACAGAGAAGCATTTCACTCAAGGTGTTTCATCATTTTTTAGTCACGCCCTGCAATTATTTCTAAACGACAACTTTAGTAAAGAATCCAAATAGAAAGAGAACCGTAACCTAGAAAGTTAGAAACAATCTATATGATTATTATCAGCCTGCAAGACAGACTTTCAGGATTACAGATTCATATCTGAACTACAGATTCATAAATTAAATGAAGAAGATGATGAAGAATCACTTTCTGTAGAAATATGTCCAGTTGTTTCGTTGATATTAATTGTACTTTAGCAAACTTCATTTTAAATCCATGGTCGGTGTCATGTAGCAAAAGCTCTAACTTCCATAATGCACAAAAATAAAATCTACAGGATCTATCTTTACAAAAGAATATCATGGAGAAACAACAAAGTCTTGTCTAATGGTGCTATAAAAGGACAGCAATTTTATGTAAGGTTTGTGTAAATATGAACCTTCCATTCAATCCTTTGAGATAATGCAAGTTGATTTTGAGAAAATCACTCCATCAGAAGAAACAAAAATTGGATGAAGTGATCCAAGCTTAGTGGAGGAGCGGTTAAGGTATTGGTATCATCACTAAAGAAAGGCCCATCAAATAAGAATAAAGGCAAATATATAGTGGACTGTGAAAAAGTCGTTCCTGAACATCCAAAGAGCAACAAGCAATAAACATAAATTACAATCAAAATACTATAAATTGTTGGCTCTTTATTAAGATCTTATAGTCAAGCTTACTCATTAGTTTTTTCTTATTTTTTTTTTTTTAATTTTTTTTGTGGACATTCAATTTAATTTTTTTTTCCACATAATTTGCAACATCAACCGTTTCTGCTCAATTGAGCTCTACTTCATAAAAATCAAATTTAAGATATGTTCTCCAAATTGTGAGGCTTTAGTCTCCAAATTGATGAGCAAAAGAGCAACCGTTTGCCATCAACTAGAAAACAATGCTTAGTCGTTGGGTCATTGGGTGCTTCTTCCTTGATAATACATAAAATATTTATAAATGGTGATTAATGTTTCTTAATTGAACTTTTTCTTACTCTTGCTCTTATAAATAAACCCCTGGGCTGATTTTGGCCTTCCATTCAACATTGAAATTGTATGTCATTTTTTTTAAAAGATTCACATGTTTTCATTTTTCTTAGTTGTTTTCTATTTTTATATCAGGCTTGTATTTATTGCTCTCACCTCTGTTTGTTTCAAAAGTTCTGATATCCTTCCTGCAACCATCACAGGAAATTCTTGGACCAGTCCCTGAAGGATTTGATCTCTATTTTTCTTCCAGATTTCCCAGACTTCTGATTGAGGTCTACAAGGTCATATGCATACACTGCAAGGAGGAGACTTTCTTAAGAAAATACTTCGATAACAGTTGGATATAATGAATCTTCGTGTTGTCGATCCCAATGAACCGCGGACATTCCAATTCTTTGAGAGTTGGTCCTTGTACAATTTCAGAAATTTCTTCTTATAAGTTATAAAAATGTATATTCTCATCCGCAATTCTGTTTCTGATTATGGAATTGTTTGAAATCTAGTCATCTAATTCAAATTAAATAACTGAATTTGATAATTATATAATTTCCAAATATCATAATAACAGGTGAAGATTGACCGTGGAGTTTCTCACTGCAAGAGCACGGGTTCAAATCATGAATATTATTCTTTGGCTCACCTTTTCTGAAAGAAAGACTAAAAAGGGCAAGGTGAGAAGTACTATTTTCTTCCTTTGTTTTCTTGATATTATGTTTTTGTAAAGTGTTGGTGGTTAATAGATTTATGTTGAAATGCCAGTGATTCAGAATTGCTCATTGCAGAAAATTTCACCTAAAGGTTGGGTTCATTATTTAAACGTGTTGGGACTATCATGAGCTAATTAAAGAGTCATTATATGGTTGGATTCTAAATTTATCAGAGGGATGCATTAAGCTCTTTAATGCACAAGATTAGACAATTATGTTATATATTGTCTCATGCATTTTAGGAGTTACCGAACGTTTAAACTTGTTGTTTTGTTAATATTAAATAATGAAATGATTGGAATAAATGTTATTATAAAATAATTAGTTAATTATAAATGATGAGTGATCAAATTAAGAAATGATTTATTTATTTATTTTTGAATGAAATTATTTCTGAGAGCCTCGGGAAATGCTGCATTCAATTTTGACACAGTAATTTTTCTATTATTCTAATTAAATCGAACATCTCAATATTATTTTTGAAGCTCAAATTAGGATAAAGAGCAGCAACTTTTGTAACCCGAAGGACCTTTTAAAAGTATTTATGAAAATGCTTGATGGTAATTAGATTATAAGCTTTATTATTTTATTTAGAGTTTTTTTTTTAATATTCAAATTCGTGTAAACATCTGTAGGCTGATTCGATTTGTGCAGATACGCCAGTAAAATTACATATGATCAAATATAATTTTCGATGTAATTTGGATTTTAAAGCAACCTGACATTTGGGGTAAACATTTTTGAGAATTTATTTTGTAATTATTTAAGTTTTATTTTTGACAAATTTGTAGATGAGACAGTGCAATTTGGTAAGATAATGCATTTAAATAAGATGAACTTAATAATATAAAAAAAAAATCTACCATTTAAATGAATAATTTGAAAATCTAAACCATAACAAATTCATGTGCATATAATCAATTTGGGTGTTTTAATGCGGAGTGCAATGACTCTGTGATAGCGTAATTCCAAGTAGGACATAGAAATGTTAGATAAAAAAGAAAGATTTACAGACATACCATTTAATTCCAATGAATTTACATATCTAATACCTAAACTTCAATTTTCATGTACATGACACCTTGCCTATGCATAAAAAGGTGTTGGATCCAGACTTGTCCATACATGCTGAAAGAAGATAGCATCGAACAGGAGAGAATGAGAGATAAAGAGAAATAAATTTTAGTTTAGAGAAAGTGTGCAACTCTTATAGAATAACCTCTCATTTATAGAGAAAGAGGGTACTATGTGTGAAATTACATATGTGCCTCTAGTTTAACGGAAATTGTATAAGTTATTACAAGTATTTTGTATATTGAGCCCAGGGCCTGGTGGCTCTAAGGCTTAGTTTGCTAGTTGGCAAATCCTTTAGAAGATGCTGCTTATCGGCTATGCTAGAGAGACTCATCGGTCTGCCTGGTTTGGTAAGCTGCCAGTCGTTTAGGTTTTGATATTGTTGGTTGGCTAGATTTCGATTGGCAAATATCGGTTGATCATGTCTGGCTGTCAAGCTCTGCAAGCTAGACAGAGCTAGGCTATTGAGCAAAGGATGGATCACCGTAATTCCATAGGTAGCCAACCTCGGAAGAAGAGATCTTGGGAGATGGCTAAGCTTCATCTAATTGACTCATGGTGATGTTCGAGGAGGGTACTTGATATCTACGAGAGAATTGTAAGATTAAAGGGGTTAGCTTTTCCCTTTAGGTTGGTTCCATCGTGGAGATGTCTTCGACTCCCCTATACTTGACAACTAATCGAACTGCTTAGGTTTAGGCTGCTTGGTTGCCTTGGTTAACCTTGACCTTAATGCTCCAAATTGGACGCATGAGCCCTTGAGTCCCCAATTGGTGCGCCCTCCCGCGACACGTCTTGTACGATGCTTGTCGTTAAATTTCCTTGGGATTCATGTTGGTACTTTTTCCTTATATATATATTTAGTTCTCCTATTTTCTTACTATTTAGAAGTCATTTTGTGATTAGAACAAAAAACTTTAATAAAAAATAAATCTTATTTATAATAACTCAATGATTTAATAATTGAACACCTTGAATTTCTATGCCCTGTATTTTTATAAAAAAGAGGTGAATGGCCTGGACTTCTTACCTCTTTCCCAATTCTCCCTTACATTATAGTGTCTGAACTTCGAGTGTTGCCATGACGAACGACGTCATGGTAGGATACAAGGTGGCATGATCCAAGGCCTTTAATAGGGCAGCTTATATGCAGGCTTTTGGCGAAATGAAGGCAAAGTCCTAGATGGAAGGAAAGTAGAAGAAACTAGAAGGAGAGAAGAGGAAGTCAAAAGGAGAGAAGAGGAAGAAAAGGTTGTGAAGAAGAGGAAAGTGCTTGATCAAGCAGATCTTGTGGGATCACCTGACTCACTTCGCAACCGTCAGCGGAAAGAGGTTCGAGCAGAGGTTGGAGGGAGATCTGTTGCCCTCTTGCTAAGTCGTCAGTTCCTACTTCTAAGGCACCAGCCTTTCTTACTGCAACATCTGCTTTTGGTTTCCCCAAAAGTTCCAGCTCTGTTTGCTGATTGGACCGACCAGGGAGATATAAGTGTTGCAGTGCTAAGCAGGGGTACTAGGAGCAATCGATGTTCCACCACTGACTTTGGCGATGGAAAAAGCTAGTGAGAGTAGGTGTTGTTTATTAAGTTTGAATGGGATTGAATCTTGGGAATGAGAAACTTTGATCTTACTTTTTTTCTTAAAAAAAGTTTTCAAATTCTTTTTTATAATGCCTTTTGGTGCAGCTCATCCTGTAACTGAAATCATGACCGTTGGTTTCGATTTGACAGGCCTCAATGCTGATCTTTCTTGAGAGCCAGTTGTAGTGGACCAAGGACCTATTAGAGGCGACAAGCTTCCAAGCGTGGGAGAAGGGATCAGTCATCCAAGTGGTCTCGACAAGGCTCAAGGGGTGCGGCCAATGGATGCTAAATCTCCTTTCAGTCATTGATGCACCACTTGTGAGAGACAGTGGCTTCCTTATCACAGGAGGCAAGGTTCACCTCAACCTAGGAGATGTGCATAATATTGGCCTGCGTTGAGATGGTCGACCAGATGGAGAGGGAGATGGCTGCCCTCACCAGAAAGATAACTGCCCTTCAGGAAGAAATAATCACCCTTTGCACGGAGTTAATGACAGTTTAGGGGGCTTCTTCATCATTCTCGGTTCAAGCAAAGGTCAGTCGGGTGGATTGTTTTATGTTAGGAGGCAATGTATTGTATAAAAGGCTGATTCAATAAAGGTTTATTTTGGCTGAAGTGACAAATGATATTCTTCTGAAGTATTTTCTCCCAGAATAGTTTTTTGAGTGGTATCTATAATTTATATTTTATGAAATAAAATTTATTTTATTTATTTTTCTAGAAATTTGTGTCTGCGTGACTTTCCTGTCATTTTAGTTTTCGATGACAAATGACCTTATTGGCCTTGCAATGGTTCAGCTACAATCCCCACCCTATAAATAGAGCCAAGGGATTTTTTTGTGGAATTGTTCCATTCTCTTCTCTAATTTTTCTTCATCCTCCAAGCTCTTTCCATTTGCACATTTTTTGAAAGGCTCTTATGCCTCCCAAGAGTAGTTCAGCTCAATTCGGGTAAGTGAGGTGTCCACTATGACCAGGGATCAAGTGGAGCTCCTTTAAGATGTTGCATTTACATCTTGATTATTCAACTCCAAACAGTGGAGAGTCATGATTGGGCAACAGATAACTTTGGCTCAGATCTAATTTTCTATAGGGTTTAGTTTAAGTGTGGCCTTTGATTGCCACTTTGCAAAGAGCATTGGTTGATCTTCAATTGATATGGTGTCATCCTCACTCAAGTGTTGCCTGACTCCATAGAGACAAAAATGACATGTAATCTTCTATTGGTGGATGGAGGTCGATTGGTTGATGAACCTGTTAACACACATGTTCATCTTCAGGATTGATATGTATCTTTTTTTGCTTTAGTTTCCAACCGCTAAGGCAGTTGAAGAATCAAAGAAAGGACTTGAAAATGTTGTTTCTAGTCAGCTCCTATGTTGGCAGCCGAAGAATTTGCATCCTTCCATTGGAAGGCACTATGAAATAGGTGAAGACTTTGGATGACAACCATCTTGCTCATGAAGTGTTGATCGAGGGAAGATGCTTGTCCACTTTCTAGTACCTTGATGTGTAGATAATTAATCATATATTCTAGTTGGATAAGTGTGGGTCGATGATGCAGGAACTTTTGGGTAGCTTATGATGCCAAGGAGTTCAACAAATAGAAAGAGACTACCTTTGGTGCCACTAAGAAGAAGTCTCGAGGGAATGCCATGCTCTCCTAAGCTATAACGATGGGTGTCAGGCCTAAGGTAGAAGTTTTTTCCGACCAAAAAATATATGGGATTATCTCCGCCAGTGTGAATTTTGAAGGTACAAACTTTATCTTTTATACTTCTCAAACCACCCTAATTGTTCAACAAGTTTTCAGAAATGATTTGACCATCATCCGTGATAACAAAAACCAAATCTTCTATGCCAAATACCTATACTTCATGCTTCTGCAGTAACGGTTCTACCAAAAAAAAAAAAACACTGTTGTTTGGAAGTTCTGAACAAGAGGCTTTGACAGAAAAGGCAGAGGTGTGGTCGACCACTAGCAGACTGACTAGTACCCCTTTTATAGATTGAAGACAAAGGGAAGAGGCAACCACGTGTCACCCATTGCTTTGACTGAGACCAAATATCATAGAGAAGGAAAGGCCCCCTCTATTTATCAAGAATCTCTACCTCCTTTTCCACTTCAGGAGAAAAGGAAGGGCTCTCCACCCAAACAAATTTCTTCTCTTGAAGAAATGATTGAAGGTTTAGTCCAGTTCTTGATATTAGTACCTAAAATCTCCATTGACATCTAATTATCCTTTAGCCCTCGTGGAGGTGATCTGGTCCACAGAGAAGGAAAAGCTCCCACTGTTTATCAAAAATCTCCACCTCCTCTTTCACTTTAGGAGAAAAGGAAGGGCTCTCCACCCAAACGAATTTCTTCGCTTGAAGAAAGGATTGAAGGACAAGTCCAATTCTTGGGGAACTTCAAGATGATTAATAGGAGGAAATATTGGTACCCAAAATCTCCACTAACATCTAATTGTCCTTTATCCCTCGTGGATGTGATCTGTTCCTACTGCTTTGAGAAGTCAATAAAGACTCTTAACCACCTATATTAGTACTAAGCATCCAATTGTTACCATACCATGGCTTGGGATG